CAGGAGGGAGACGGGGAAAACATGAGGACAGAAAAAAACAGAACCCTTCCAGTGATGTGAAAAAGGATCAACTTGTGTTTCCCTGCTTCTGCTGCAAAGCTGTTAATTTGCAATTATTCATATTGTAAAATTACTGGTGTCAGTTTGGTGATTGCACTGTTCAGAGGAAAAAGAGTCTTGTTGCTAGGAGAGGAGAGAGTCAGCCTTCCCTTATTGGCCGCTAGGATGCGTAAGATGGCCCAATGAGAGCACTCCCCCTCAGAGCAGTGCACTAGTAGAGCTACCCCCCCCCATGCAGACCTGATTAATATGTCAGACATGTTTTATGGGTTAACGTGAATCAGGCTAGATGTAATGAAAACACTGCAGCACAGACAAAGTGTGTGGATACTGTATGGGTCTGTGTGTATGGAAGTCAGTACAATATGTGTGCTAGGAGGACATGCCACAGTGGCATACTGTATGACACACAGCCTTTTGATGTGAACTGATGCTCTCTGTTCTGAAAAATACCCTCATACGCACATAACCAGCTCACACACTGTAGTAATGAGCTAACTCAAAACAGACAAGTATAGAGTGGAAATAGGAAATAGGATTCCTCACATGTGCACGGTTATTAGAAGAATGCGGCACACAAAAGAGAAACAGAAATGGAAAAACGTGACTCCATTTTTTGAGGTCTAATGTTACATGGAAGAGGGCTCGAGCTGTAGTCAATATCATTTTGTCTGACAGTAAGTCCTAAATGGCTGTAGCTTTTTATTTTTATTTTTTTAAGCTGATTTGTTCATAAATCTGGATAAATCCGCTCTTAAAAAGCAGAACTAGAGTTTTACTGCTGATTTGAGAGATAAGCTTGTTTTCAGTCTTACCTGTAGTCAAGTGTGAAAGACTTTTTGTCCACTGTAGAGATACTTAAGTCCAGGACATGCTCATCCTGGCTTTGTTCAGTGACTGGAAGCAGGTGAAAACCGTTGTCCTGTCTGAAGTGAAAAGGTCCAAGTACACTGAAACTCTAACTTGCATATTGTAATCTCTGCTGTTTCAAACTGGTCAAAGTTCACCTTGGTTTTGTTCACAGATACAATGCTCAGTGATTAAAGAATAGCTCTACAACATTAGCTACCAGCTCCATAAAGTAACAGTTTGACATTTAGGGAAATACCTTTCTTCACTTTTTAATTGGAAGTTATATGAAATGATTGATCCCAGTCTCATGTCTGTCTGTTAACCAGCTTTAAATTAGTTGATTAGCCTAGCCTAGCTTAAAGACCGGAATCAAGAGGAAAGAGCTTGGCTCTATCCACTAGCATATCTACAACTCATACACGTTGTATTTCATTTGTCTAATATGAACACAAACAGAAATGTAAAAGCAACACCTAACATGTGGCAAACAAAGCAAATAAGTGCATTTTCCTTAATATAAACAATTTCTTTAAAACAGTTTGTGAAACAACACGTTTTCTAGCAGTGACAATACCTCACTGTATTGTTGGCCTGTATTCCAACCTGTAATTTATAGTATCGGCAGTGTGACAGTGTGACAGAGAGCCAACATGCACAATGCTAGGACCCTGAAAATGAATGATCAAAGTGAAATTCAGAATTGTTAATCTTATTAGAAAAACTAAAAATAATTACACCTGTGCTTTTTTTTTTCTTTTTTTTAAACTGTGACATGTCAAAATCTATACTATGAGTCTACTGGAAATAAATTAGGCAGTCAGTGCTATCGTCTGCTGATAGTAAACAAAATGTCAGTCAAAACTGAACGAGAACAGGGGATGAACGTTTTTTCTCTCTAAACCATAAGAGAAGTGTTTATCTTAACATTCAATAATTATACAGTGCCAACTTTAATGCATGAGCTGATGTTTCAGCACTTCAGAGCTTCAAGGCTAAAACAAATTGCATTATATATAAAGCTTTTCGGGCACCCAGATGTGTAAGCCAGTCTATAGGAGGGCAATTACAATGAATAAAATGTTACAACTCTCTCTCTATAATTGTCTCTTACCCTTACTGGCCATATGTCGTTTGTACAACAAAACTGGTGTTTTGAAAAAAATGCACTGTGCACTAACTCTGTCTTTGTATTTGTGAAACACAGTAACATCTGGCTAAATGATACTGTGGACATAAATACGGTTCTGACGTCTGCTAAAAAAAAAAAAACTGGCACAGCTTAAGACACTATGTGTTAGCATTCTTTTATAAACCAAGGTAATTTCCTCATTTAAATATTATATTTAGATAACTGCTTGCACTGTACTGTCACAGATTACACCTCTTCTGAGAGAGACTGTGCGCACACTGCAGTTACACACTGCCACACTGACATGTGTCATGTCCCTCTTTGTTTTCTTGCACCTGTACTTGATTTAAAAAGCTAATGAGCTGTTGTGCAAGTTTGCGGCTCAGATCTGACCACATTTGTTTTTTTTTTTTTTTATGTCATACTTTATTTCATACGTACTTTTTTCTTAATTGGGTTTGGGGTCACTTAATTTTTACCCGAGCAGATGCCCAGTCAGGCCAGAAAAACTGGAAACACCTGTGAGTGCAGGGCCAATTAACATTTTGACGTCCAGCAGCTCAGTAAGGGGAAATGTCAGATTACCTTCTGGGGGGTAAATAATTTTGTTACAGTGCCAGATTTGTTCCTGTGGCACACCTCATACACATAAACCACCCTACTTTTACTGAAAGATATGTTAAAGTAATGTTTTTAAAAAATTATTTGTATTTATTTTCTATTGGTTGAGTCGACTCCTTGCTTATAGCAATGATGCTACATGTTGATCGCACAAGAGCTGCTACAGTGGATAGCACTCATTATTTCATTGTCAACGGACCTGTGCCTGCTCAGTAGCACACAGAAGAAAAACTAAGTTGTGGAGAGTGTAACGAAGCTAAAATAAGCATGAATATTGGTCTCGCTGTACATATTTTGTACATCCAGGTGAACACAGACTTCAACTGAGTGTGTTAGAAAGTTGCTTTTTACTACCATGTTTTTGATATCTGCTTGAAAATTCTGTGTCAGTGTTGTGTGCCCAAGCAGCCAAAACTGTTAATTGCTGCAGGCCAGAAGCTCTGCTAAGGTAGCTAATGTAAATACAATTAGATAAATAGTGTATGCTCAGTTGTCAGCTGAATTTTCTATGGCCCATTTATCACTTTTTTTGGGCTGAGGTCTGCTGCATGATGGCTTACTATAAGCTTTCCTGCAATGACTAGTGTGAATAAGCATACAATATCAAAAGTGTAATTCAGTTTCACCATTAATAAAACATGTCTTAACAGGATCCCTGTGAGTGCGGCAATACAGATGTTCTCAGCGGTGTCTGGTTTCTTGAGTTTACAAAAAAGCAGCAGCTTTCAGAGCTGTTCAGATCCCCGACAAGAAACAAACTAAAAATAAATAGTGTGCTTCTTATGTCCCAGCTGATCACAAACTACTATTCTGCCAGAACCTCCTGACCTGAAACAATATTTCCACAGAACCCACTGTCTGCAGCACAGTAAGCCTGTGCTACGTAAATAACACAACTGAATCAACACCGTATACTTCATTTTACTACAAGTGACTACCAAACTAATACAAACCTATTGGCTTAAATGACATGAAAAGCAACTTATTTTAATAATAATCATAGGGATTTTTTCGTTTCCAGATTTGCTGTGAGGAAGATATCTGTCAACACTTCTCTTGGCAGAAAAAATCAAAAGAAGCAGCTGGTGGATTCCAGCTCAATGAGCTGTTTTAACAGAGGAGAATCAGTGTAAAGTCATGTCAGAGCTCTGATTTATCACTGTAATTATTTTTATCTTGTCATCTCACATTCCTTCAGTTGGTTTGTACAATAGCTAAAGTATGCTGTATATACAATATACTAATTAACTGTATTTACTAATGTATTGATTGTGCTAATATAGTGCACACCAGTGGTAGTGTACTGTGGAACTCTTTAAATGTTTCAGACAAACAAAACAAAAGTAAGGTCACATTGTTTTCAAAATCCTTTTCAGATTTTTACAAATTACCATTTTTCTAACATAATGTACCATCTGCACTCCTGAATCATTAACAATACTCAAAAAGTGGCTCTAAAACTTTTAAAAACTTAAATTGGTTTTTTAAAAAAGCTGTTAAATTTAGAGGTTTCCTTTTAAGAGTTTGGTTCTTGGTCCTTTAAGCAGCTGTCAGGAACACACACACTGCTTTATTTTTATTTGTTTCCCTTTTGTTCGCTCCCTTATGGAAATGTTCATTGGTTCTGTAGGCCACACACGTAGCCGATAAACTGAAATGGCAAGGAGCAGTTAATCTTCTACTTTAATCCACTGCTTTGATTTTGATCGATTCCAGGTCTTTGTATTTTTTGTTTGCTTGTTGAACCACGGTGATCCATGACTTTTTCAGTTTTTTCTACAATCTTGTCTTTTCTCAGGTTTTTCTTCACCAGAGGAGGCACTCTGTCTCAAGTGTCCTATAAATGCAGTTGTTAAGGTCACAGACTTGGAAATAACCCTCACAAGGTTCAATGCCAGGCTTCTCCAGTGTTTGCACCATGTTTTTGAAGCGACAGGGTGGGCTGGCAGTTACAGGCCGCCCCATTGTAAGAGGGTCACAGGTTTGATCCCTCTTATAGCCAGTTTGCTGATGTTGAACCCACCTCCTTCAGAGATGTAGCCCCTGCCTCGTTCTTTGTTCAAAGAAAGTGGTTCCGTTAAGATTCACAGTCATACAGCTGAAAGCAGAGAGCTGCTGTTCACCAGGGTTACAGAGTGCAGTATGGTCATGATGTATTGTAGCTGCTCACAAACAATAGGCCTAACTGTTGTACAGACACACACACACATACAACACAAAGATTTCTGACCTTTCTTTATACATATATATCTTTATATTTATATCAAAGAATGTTCCTTGATATTTATACCAACAAATCTTGGTCAGGTTGTGAATTCAGGTCTTGACTCTATGGTTTCAGAAAATGACTGCAGGTACTGACAGTAAACGCCATCATATGCTGCCCTCTAGTGGATAGTGTGCAAATTCATTACTGCGGACACAAAAACCGGCGTCACAGCCGTTCACAGTAGGAAATGTTTTTATTGGCTTTCTGTCAGAGAAAACAAAGCAACAGTTTCAAGTAATCTGCTTTAGGAAAATAGCAACCAATACTATCTGTATCAGTCTTCTAGTTAGTCATGTAGTAATTAAAATGATTTCATTCTCTGCCAAGTAAAGTGGTTTCCTGAACCATATCCCTGCAGTAGGAATGATACTGAAAATAATAATAATCATTGAAATTAGTGCTGAATAGGATTGTTGAAATTTATACAGTTAAAACTAATAGTGCCCTTACCAAGCATCAAATAAATAAATAAATAAGTTAAAATCAGTAGCAGTTTTTCCTCAGTGGCCACCATGAGCATGAAATATCTAAAATTTACATTTACTTGTCATCAACTGCTGAGACTATTTTGAGTCTTACTGTGGATGAATCCATGTTGTGAAACAGAAAAGGTTTTCAAATGTGCTTAAACAAGCTGTGACAGCATTCACAATGAAAACTGTTTTTTGTGAGCACAAAAATTTGTAACAGATCAAAATAAAAATAGCATGTATTTGGAGAGTATGACCTTTCTCTGTGTAGACTGCAAAAAAATGCAGAAAAAAAAACAAACAGTTAATGCCATCAGAAATCAGTTTATAGATAGTTCAGCAGACAGCCAGTAACAGAAGAACGCTGCACCATATAGTGCAGCGGTTACTCTGCACCATCAGAAATATAGTGGTTATCTGCTGCACACTGCATATTACTTATACTACACTGAGTATTATTTGTTTAATATTATATATCAGAAACAGATTGGATGTAACAAAATTAGATTTATACTGATGAATCAAAGGTACCATGGAAGCCATACGGAATGTTAACAGGTACATTGGCTCTTCCCAGCTCCTCCAGTGTCTTGGCATCTAAAACCAGGAGGAATGTTCCCTTATCCTGCAGAGAAAAGTATTTGTACCTTTTTAGAAGACATGCTTCGAAAGGTGCATGTGTGCACAAGACCACAGAGCACCAAAACTATACTTGATTTGTGTTTGACACAAGTGGTGAGGCAATTAAAAAGACAAAAAAGCAAGTGATAAATAAATAAATAAATCCATCTTTAAAACAAAAAAAAAATCCAGTAAAAGCTGCTGCTGGTCTTGGCACAATTTAATTTTAGCTATAATGATCCTTCAGGATTTGGTTTGCTTTAAAGGGACAGCACAGTTAGAAAAGGGAGGATATTATTAATACACCCTAGTACAACTTAGATTCAAGATGCCAGACATGTTTTCAGAAGAGAGCACAACACCACCTCGAGGGTGTTCATGCTCTTCTCTTCTTAAAATAGAAATAACAGGATTTACCTTAATTTCAATTAAAAGTTTGTAATAAGTACAACAACCTCATTAGCTGTAATTATTTTTGCAATGTACAAAAATTCTGTCTGGAAGCAAACAATGTAGTTCACTGGTCCTTCACCAAAGGTAGCTTTTGTTTGTGCTTCAGTATATAACAAAAATCCAGGTGACATCTTTGTAGATTGTAGACACACAACTTGTTCTGTAATCCTCTCTGTCTTTCCAGGCGTAGCCTACATTGTCTGTATTACTGGAGCCACTAATATGGCTAGGAAATACATTGTCTGCCATTATGCTTCTATGCTTGAGAAAGTCTTATTTTTCTGTTTGCACTTTGAAACTTGAAACTATCAAATTTGTATGTTTTGTGTATATTTGTCAATGAATATTTATAGCTCTGCTCATCTCACCTCATGCATATTTATGATGGATTATGTGTCCGGCTAGTGATAGACTCAAAGGGAAAATCATCCGAGCTCAGGTCGACTCACAGGCCAGCTGCCTGGTGGTGACTAAAACTCAAGTAACTCTACGCCAACTGTTACAGTATAACAACCTACAGTAGTAACACAGTGATGTAAACATTGTAAATGACATAGATAAAAGGTGGCAGATTAATTGAGACAACAGGGTTGAAGGCTTGTTGCTACAAAGTAAAAAAAACATAAGCACAAAGTGACACAGATGTACTTTCACTGCTAAACCTACTAAAGCTTTGGAAAAATAGTTCAGTTCACCAACATCTACTGTTGGCTTTTCTACAAGTGCTGGATACGTGTCAGTCTGCAGGCAGTGACTCTTACCTGTGTGGGAGAGAGAACCACAGAGAGGATGACACCGTCATCCTCCTCTACTGCCTCAGGTGACGGCACAAACACAGGCTCTGATGGGTAGAAACCCTTCTGGTGCCAGACCTGCAGCAGATCATGTTCACAAATAGCAGCTTAATCATTCAGTATTTTACCTTTGCTACACACGATATAATGTTTTCTGGTTGTCCGTCCATCCAACCCATTCTTGTGAATGTGATATGTAAAAGCAACACTTTGAGGAAATATCTTCACATTTGGCATAAGGGTCTGATGAACTGATTAGAGTTTGATGGATGAAGGTCAAAGGTCAAGGCCAGTGACCTCATGTCTGTCCCTTCCCATGAATTTGATTGGTTGGCAGAAGAATACAATTGAGAAGCTGTAATTAGTTTTAAATTATGAAGCTATTTGTCTTGATTACACGATGGGGGTCCCTGATGGACTAGTGGCTAGGATTCAGCGTTCTCACCGCTGCGGCCAGGGTTTGAGTAAGGCTTGCGTCAGGAAGGGCATCCGGCTTAAAACATGTGTCAAAGTTCACCATGCAAGTCGTCAGTGTGGCGACCCCTAACTGGAACAGCCGAAAGTGAATTATTTATTTATTTGTCTTGATTGCACGATGCCCTCTGCATATCAGTGACCTTTTGGCTCGACTTAAAGAACATATTTTTGTTCTAGCATTGTACATTCTGTCTCCAGTGTGTAGTGTTGTAAATAGTTCTGCATTATGCTTATATGCTTTCTTGCTGAGTGTTAAACTAGAAGACTGATACCACTCTTATACAGTATATGCAGAATATGAAGCTACATAAACAGTGAAGACAGGGTGTCTAGCACATAAGCACAAAAAAAAAACACATTTATCACATTATTTACAAAAAATCAAATACATTATAAATTCTTAGTGAGCATTTAACCTAAACAGAGCTACGCTAACAGTTTCCAGTCTTTATGCTAAGCTACAGTAAGCTAACCAGCTCTAGGGCCATGTTTAATGACCACGCATGAGAATGGTATTGATCTTGCCATCTAACCCTTGGCATGAATGCCTATTCCTTCAGTGTTTGGATCCTATATACTGTAGTAAATACTGACCAGATGTGGCTGCTGTCATATTTTTTACTGCAGTGCATAAAGTTGTGTTGTATGTAAGGGTTGGCAGAGTAAGAGAATGATAACTAATTCTGACAAAAAGCTTGTTTTGGTTCATTAGTGGCTGCTTATATTAATATAATAATATCAGTATTATACTGTATCATCAACTAAAGCACAAGAGATAAATCAGTGGAAGACATAAGAGCATTACTGAACAAGACTTTAGTAAACATAACTAGTAACTATCATATACTGGGGTGTCGGCTGTTGTTACATTAGGAGGAAGACTACATTATGCAGTTGTAGATAACGCTGTTGACTCAGGATGTACACGCACCTTGAACATCTTGTCCTTCAGGTCCATCTTGAGCAAAGAGTCTCCCACAAGGTGCCTGAAGCCGCAGCCGTAGAAATAACGGTATGGCTGTGTGTTATATTTGCCATAGTTGATCTGAGGGAACTCCAAGCCTCCGTACTCATAGAGGTCATCTCCATGGAGATCCTCGTGCTGGCAAAACACCTGCAGACAAAGAGAGGATCCTGTTGATTTTACTGAGCAGAGTATTTGTTCATTGGGCTTTTGCTTCAATTTGGGATCGTCCTTTAAAAAGGATAAATAAAAACATCCAGCCACTTAATTGTATTAATTCTATTAGTTTCCTGAACTGGAAATTATGAACCCCCATCATTTGATTTTGTCAGGTTTGCTCGGCCGCTCTGGCCTCCTTCACCTTTCCTACTGTCTCTTGCCCATTAACACTAATCACGTTCACCTGTTCCTCACTCCCTTATCACCAGCTGCACTTGATTAGGTTGCTCACTATATTACCCGGTTTCACTCCTCAGTCACTTGCCAGTTCGTTCTAGTCTCTAGGCCAACTTTACTCCGTGTGTTTTCGTTGTTTTGTATGTATTTATGCCCTAGCCAGCTACTGTTTTGTGTTCCCCCCCATGGACTGTTCCTCCGGACCGTGGCTCCACTCTCCCCTCCCAGGCAGGTCAATGCTCAGTCGCCTATCTGTTCTACTATTGCCTTCATCTCTCTGTCTCTACCTTCAGTAGCCACCATCACCGCCGACCAGCCCAGGAGTGACCCCACCTATACAGCTCGGCCCAGCTCTCCATCTCCTCACCTCCTGCGGTTGGTCAAATACCCGGCTACTACTCATTGACAGGACTACGTACTATTTCCCTCCGTGTATTGTTACTCCCTTCATCACTGTATATAATAAATCACTGCATGCACCGAAGTCGGCTACCTGGGTCCGCCTCTTTCTTGTTCGCACACTGACTGGTGTGAATGGCATCTAACAGATTTGGTCACACCGGAGAAGATGTGAACTATTTCGTCCCCTCTCGTTGAAAATTTGGAAAAGTGGTAACGACTACTGGAGTTTTACCTCTGGGACTGTGTATTCAAAATTACTGTGACAATTTTTAAAAAGGTGCAAGTGTTATTAAAATGAAATAACTGTAGAAACCATTCAGAAGAATATGAAAAACTGTACTGCTTTGTTGTGCCTATCCTGCACCCCCATCTGTACGTATCAAAAAAAAAAAAAGCCTGAAATCCTAAGACAGCTTGTTGTGAGTTCCTTTACAGATACATTAAAGATTCTGTAATTCTAATTAGATAAAATAACATCCACAGGATCTTTTTTCCATTATGGTATTCCTACTTCTTCTCGGGCAAAGGAGTTGAGCACTTCTCCCACCACTATTAGATTGATTATAGCTGTATTATTTACAGAATCCTCTGGAGTGGGGTAAGTCTTGTACAGCACCACGAGCTGCCAAGACACTGTAAGACATTTCTGAGGTCTGCATCCACTATTTCATCTAAAATCAATATTTAGAAATTCAAACTGAAGAGTTTATCATATTCAATTCAGATTCCAACCCACCTTATCTTTGCAGACCTTTACACACGTTGCTTTACTGGAGGTCTGTGTGTTCAGGTTCTGGTCTGACGGCGTTTCACTGGTCACATTAAGGGGCAAAACAAATCGCCTGGGGAAAGATCTGCACATGGTGTTGTACACCTGGGAGGGACACAGCACAGAAACAATGCAGTGTGTGAGTTTTAGAGATTCATCTTACAGCACGTCTTCTTGTCTCTCTGTTTAAAAAAAATTAACAAATGTGATGTAAAAAGCAACAGTAGCATTTAAAACATAATAGACTAGCCCATTTGTTAATCAACTCAAACTGTGGACAGACAGAAGGAAAGACGTTTAACATTGCAAAAGTTTTCTTCCTAAAGTTTTTATCAATTATTTAGTACAAAGGAAAAAGATTAACCAAGCCTATGCTGCCTTAAACACTTGTTTATTACTCAAGACAAATTGAGGAAAATAGCTGCATCAGAAACTGAAGCACTATGAAAAAAAAATTCTGGATAGCTCTGCTAATAGGGTAAGAGCATCTGAGGGGGGATTTGTCCTTTATTGTCCTTTACGGATTCATTTCTGTGCATGCATAATTAAAGTGTGACCTCATCTAGTGCGTCTCCTGACTTGCGTAAGTTCTGGATGAGGTAGTTGTTGATGGCTTGTCCGTCGTCTGAGCAGCACATGTCTAGCATCAAGAATCCATCCTCCTCAAAGGCGTTGATCTGATGGAAGGTGGAAATGGGTTTGGTGTGGTACTTCACTGGGCTGACCTATAGTACAGAATACACGTAGAGACCACCCAAGATTTAAAGCAACAGGATTTTTCCACCATTAGTGTCTGTTTATACAGAATTCTTATTTTATGTGTAACTAAATCCTCACCTCTAACTGTCACAGTCATGTCATGTCTCACCTTGCCTGTATGCTTGTCAACAAGGTGGAAGACAGTTTCCTGCTTGGGATCCCAGTAGATACCCTCGCTCAAAGCCTTCCCCCTCAGCCTGCAAGTGACTATCTTCAGTAGGTCCATCTTAATTGGTTGCTCAATGAAAACCACATAGTTCTCAGACATGGCTGGGAGCAAGAGAAGGGTGTCACTGGGCTTTGCACTTGACAGACAAACTCTACAGCCTCTTCTGCTGATGAATAATACTCAAAAGAGCTGACTTACCAAAGCTGTGGTAGTAGGAGGGATGGGATTTGTTTGCAGGCACAATGGAGCAGAGTACTTTGGCTCCTTGCAGGGTGTCTTTGGTATCTGTCTTCTCAGGAGGCACCCTGATGATGTTGTATAAGGCTCCTGGAGTAGCCAAGATGATAAAGTACTGTACAGCTTTTACACACATTAGCCTTGAGACAATATGTGGGTAAGGTATGGTAGATATACAGTGATCACAGTTTACTGTAGTCAGTTTTATAAAGGAGGATGAGAAGTGAATAATTCAACTGTTGATTTAGGCAGCCCTCTGTATGGGTCTTGTGGACAATAGGACTGACCTTTGTGTCCATATGAATTGCCCATATTGTAGGTGGTACCATCAGGGTCATAGTGTGGGTGGGCGGTGGCTCCATTTACAGCAATGAACATGCTCCAGTCCACCTACAAAACAATGCAGAAATGAGACGAATTAGTGCGTGTTGACGCTGCTTTAAGAGCAAAAAGATGATGAATAGCATGTATAACTGGAATACTAGACAGAAGATTAGAAATTGGTATTATATTCATATTTATAACTTTATGAAGATCAGGACAGTACCTTTTCTACTGTTTCTAGGTTTTCTGGGTTCACTCTGTGCATGAAGTTGGTCTCTGTGCTGACATAGTAGTCACCTTTGTATTTCACAAAGCCCACACTTGCATTGTCTGTGGCCTCTGTAACAAAGAAAAACACAGGATTACCGGGGACTTAAATGAATGAACGCATTCATCCATTAAAAGGAATTTTAGTAACCTTTGTGCTACATAATTTAGTCGAGGGGGATGTAAAAAGCCTCCCTTGGAAAGACCTTACCCTCTTTGGTTCCCCACTGCAGCACATGTTAAATTTAACAGGATCCACCCCTGGTCTCGCCAGTAACACATACTTTTAATTTAAGAAAATGTAACCACAGTGAAGTTGTTGGCAAATTCTCTGATACAAATGAGATATTTCTCATTTT